GCGAGCGCCTGGGTGACTCAGTTGGTTGAGTGTCTGCCTTTGGCTCAGGTCCTAATCCAAGGGTCCTGGGATAGAGCCCCAGGTCTGGCTCCCTGCTCAGTGGGGAGTCTGCTCCTCTCTCTTGCTCTCCCTCTGAACCTCTCCCTCTACTCATGTTCTCTCTTCCTCCTAAATAATTAAATAAAATCTTAAAAAAAAAAAGATATAAAGGTTATATAATAAAAATTAAAGACAATGTAATAATATGTATAATTATTTTTATTTTCAAATCACATTGTCTACTGATAGTTTGGATTATTATCAGAAATAATAACATTTATAATAGATACATCTATTGAACATTTACTGTTTGCCAGACACTTTTCTTTAAATAGTTTTTTTTTTTTAAAGATTTTATTTATTTATTTGAGAGAGAGAAAGAAAGAGAGAGCAGGGAAAGGAGCAGAGGGAGAGAGACAAGCAGACTTCACTCTGAGCAGGGAGCCCGATGTAGGGCTCAATCTTAGGACCCTGAGCTCATGCCTTGAGCCAAAATCAAGAGTTGAAGCCTTAACTGACTGAGCCACCCAGGTCCCTCCCTCCAGACACTTTTCTTATATCTTCTAATCCTTATAAAATCTTTTTAATAGAGTTGTTGCTATCTTTTATTTCAAGATAAAGAAACTGAGCCTCAGTGAGAGTAAACAATTTTAACAAGACTGCATAACCAGCAAGTGTGCAGCCTAGTAAGTGTGAACTCTTTTGAGCTCATCTTTGCTTGGCAGTTGAGCCCACATTTTCTCACCATTATTCTAAGGGTCTAATTAAACTCGATTTCTAAGTGAAGTTGGAGCTAATGGTGAATGCATTAAGAAGAATGATAGACACTATGACATGCTCTAGGCGAAAGACTGATGATAATACAGCCTCCATCCCCAGTGTTTATCTTCGTGTTATCACTGTACTTTGGAGCACTTGATTATTACTGTGTACAAGCTAAAGGATAAATTGTCTTTATAATGAATGAAAGAATTTTACTTTTTAGACCAAATGATATTGGAAAATATTTTTGATCTCTCTTCTAAGAACACGAAGGGATTAGAGTTCAACCATTGGAACAGTGATTGAAGGAGGATTTGTAGAGGCCCAGGGGTAGACTATTCCAGGCAAATACAATTTCAAACAAATGTGGTATGCAAATAATACATGCCACTGTTGACCTTTCACCTCTTTTTTTCTATTTCCCTAAGCATTCATCTCTTTAATTCAAAATACTCAGTGTCCCAGGAATGCCTACAGTGGCTTAGAGTTCCCAGTCCAGTGGCAGACATGAATAGTTTCATAGGTTCCTTGACCCTTCATCCATTTAATGGACCCTTTGCTCCATAGGTTTCTACTTTTCTAGGTGATTAGTGTTAGCAGGTTCATTCCTAAGAATTGAGGCACCTGGAATGAGAGTATAAATGAAGGTCTATATATTTTGTGTCATTATTATTTATTTTAAATCAAATAATTATTATTAAAATATGTATCCTCCCACTATGACAGAAATATCTTTTTTTTTTAATGACAGAAATATCTTTATAATAACTTGGATGGCAGGTGAAATGTTAGAATTTTTGGACTCCTCAGGAGTATGATGGCATGGAGAGAGATGGACTCCAGCCTTTAGCCCCTCCTCTAACCAGTTCTTTAACCAGTATTATAGGAAGCTTTGAGCAGAGTGAATGGACCCTTGGCCTGTACATTTAGCATCTATGTATTTTCCACTCACACATCTGCACCTGGACCCATCCTTACTTGGTGTATGCCTGTTGGTGGCAGAGTCCCCTGACTGGGGAAGAGAACTGGACAGATGATATCATGGGATCTAGATGAGGGATTAGGGCAATTTGGGAATGAAATTCTGGGATCACAGGGGTTTGAAACATGGGTCTTCTCTAGAGAAAAGGAATACAGGTTCCAGATGGGCACTTCTCTTGACTCTATGGACTTTACCTATTGGTGAAGGTATGGGCAGAGAAAAGCAAGAGTGCTCAGCAAATATTTATTGGTGTCTCACTATGTGCCTGTATTGTTGTGGTCACATGAGACACGAATGAACAAATGAAAGTGCTTGCCCTTGCAGAACTTATATTCTGAGAAAGGGAGAGACAGACTATAAATACTAAATATAGTAAATATATACACTATATAGTAAATTAGAAGGTGAGAAATACTATAGAGACAATAAAAATTCAAGCAGGAAAGTTTGTGAGGATTGTTAGTCAGCACTGTCTTCCACTGAGAAGGACAGATTTGACAGAAAACTTGAAGGCAGTGAGGAAGTTAACCAAAAAGGTAATAAAAGGGAAAGAAACTCAGGCCTTTAAGAGTATAGTGAGCACCTTGGGGTAGGACCGCACTTGGAATGTTAGAAGAACAAGGAAACCAGCAAAATTGGAATAGAGTGAGAAAGGCAGAGAGTTAAAGAAAAAGTTATAAAAAGAATTGATGACCAGATCATATAGTATTGCACTGTGCAACAGAAATGTAGTGACAGCCATAAAAAAATAATTTTAAATTTCCATGTAGCCATAATAAAAATGTAAAAAGAAAAGTTAAAATGAACTTTATTTTTTTTTTAAGATTTTATTTATTTATTTGACAAAGATCACAACTAGGTGGAAAGGCAGGCAGAGAGGGGGGAAGCAGGCTCCCCGCTGAGCAGAGAGCTGGATGTGGGGATCAATCCCAGGACCCTGAGATCATGACCTAAGTTGAAGGCAGAGGCTTAACCCACTGAGCCACCCAGGTGCCCCTAAAATGAACTTTAATAATGCACTTTATATAGCTCAATTTATCTAAAATGTGATTTCAACATGGAATCTTTAAAATAGCGCATTTCAGTTCATAACAGCTTTACATTGCAATTACTCAATAGCCCATATGGCTAGTTGTTGCTGCATTAGGCAGAACAGATAGATTTTGACTCATTTGTGAAAGAATTTTGTCTATTATTTTAAGTGACTTGGGAGATGTTTCAGGGTTTTAAGAATTGGAGTGTCATGGTTTGATTTACGTTTTAAAAACAATCGGGGCACCTGGGTGGCTCAGTCTGTTAAGTGTCTGCCTTTGACTCATGTAATTATCCCAGGATCCTGGGATCAAGCCCCACATCAGGCTCCTTGCTTAACAGGGAGACTGCTTCTCCCCTGCTTATGCTTGCTCTGTGTGTCTCTCTCTCGCTTGCTCTGTGTCAAATAAATAAAATCTTTAAAAAAATAAAAACAAGTCCAAGGGCACCTGGGTGGCTCAGTCAGCTAAGCATTAGACTCTTAAACTCTTAATCTCAGCTCAAGTTTCAGTCTCAGGGTCATCCATTCAAGTATTGCACGTTGGGCTCCATGCTGTGCATGGAGCCTACTTAAAAAAAAAAAAAAAAAAAAAAAATCAGGTCCAGCCTTAACTGAGAATACATGATAAGGAATCAAAAGAATTAGAAATAGGGAGATCTATAGCAGTGATTTTGATAAGGGAATGATGATGGCTCAGATGATAGCAGTGGTTGATATAAGAGGTGACTGAATTGCTGATCATTTTAAAGGTAGAACAAATAGGATGGATTGGATTTGGTGTGCGAGAGAGGAGTCAGGAATGACCCCAAGACTTCGGCCAAAATAATAAGAAGGATGGATTGACCACAACTGAGATGAGAAAGACTGTTGGAAGGTTGGGGCAAGGAAGATGTGTATTCATATATGCTTAGGGGTATCTGAGAAGTCTTGTGGGCATTCAGGTGAAGATGTGGGGTAGGCAGTTAGATAGGAATCTGGAGTTTAGGGGACAGGTTGGAAGTAAGAGTTTGGAGATCATCAACCTTGAAACTGGATAAGGTCACCAAGGGAATGAGAGTAGATAGAAAAGACAGTACCAAGGATTGAACACTGGGACATCGAAATTAAGAGGTCTATACAGACATGAAATTGACATTAAAATAACATAAAACATTTTACCACCTCTGCATTTTATATATATATATATATAACTATTTGTATATTTTCATGTTTAATATATTTATATATTATATATTTATTTTTATATATTTATACATTATATACTTATTTATATTTAATATATATTTAATTTTTTAAAACCTTAATACCTGCTGTTCATAGCTGTCACAATGTAGGTTATTTTACTGAAAAAACTAACTTTAGATGAAACCTAAGGGCTTTTTTTGTGACTTTCTTTAAAATGTACCATAAACTTTCAAGTAATTAATTTATGCTATGTTAAACAATAGATAGTAAAAATAAAAAGTGTGGTTGTAGGGGTGCCTGGGTTGTGCAACTGCTTAAATGTCTGTTTTCAGCTCAGGTCCTGATCTCAGGGTCCTAGGACTGAGCATCAGGAGGGAGGAGAGGTGCTCCCTGCTCAGCAGGGAGTCTGCTTCCTCCTCCTCCTCCCCGTCCCCCTGTTCTCAATCTCTCTCTGCTCTCAAATAAATAAATAAAATTTTTAAAATTTTTTGGTTGTAATTAAATTAGAGATTATTATCAGTCTTTAATGCATATTGTTTATTGTATTTGTGTTTCCCAGAAACATATAAGCTAACTGTCTTTGCTAATGATAGCATTAAATATCAGTATAGCAGTTTAAAATATGTCCCATGGTCTACAGACTGATGCAGCTTCGTTTTACTTGTGATAAGCTTATGAATTTGCTGCTTCTTATAAAAACTTCGTATGATATCTAGGTGTTCTTACCTCATTTTAGTCTGTTGAAAATGAGATATTTATTCCTTTAATTATATTCAGATTCCAACTATGAAGAATGTTTTATAAATGAAATCCATTATTTTACTATAACCACATTCATGACTTTTTTAAAGAGTACAATTCATACTTCAAATGAGAATCTAACCTTTTGTTTTCTTGTATTATCAAGGTAATTATTTACAATATAATGGGGAAATTAATGTACTGACAAATAATCTCTAATTTTTTTTTTAACAAAGGCAATTGTTTTTGTCTTTTCAGTCTATTCGAGAAGTCACAGGCTATGTGTTAGTGGCTCTTAATCAGTTTCGTTACCTGCCTCTGGAGAACTTGCGCATTATCCGTGGGACAAAACTTTATGAGGATCGATATGCCTTGGCAGTATTTTTAAACTATAGAAAAGATGGGAACTTTGGACTTCAAGAACTTGGACTGAAGAACTTGACAGGTAAGGAAAACATACAAAATTGGAAATATGCTCTCATTATCAATTTAAATGCAATAAACATACACATATGTGTGTATGGTTACTGTGGTGTGTGTTATACTGAGGAACACTATAAAGCATTTAAATATCTAATCTTTATTCATTACATGGGAAATAATGCCTTGTGATGCCCTTGCTTTTATTTACAGATATTGTAAGTGTAGTCTGAAAGATACCGTAATACTGTATCTCAGCTGAACAGAAGTACACTCCGAGGAAATGCTCAGTGACTGAAAACTGAGATAGGAAGCAGGTTTAAGAATGCTCTGTTTGGTGGTCTCAGGTGAACAGTGGACCATATCATCAAATCTCTGCAATAAATAACACCATAACCTTCACTTTCGTTAGAGCTCAGTAAATACACAGCCTTTATATCTAGTTAAACTAATCTAGATTTTGCACAGTCCCTTATTTTTGGAAAATGTACCTTGATTTACTAATTTAGTTTTGATTTATCTTATTCAGTAACTCACTAAATGTCATCAGAAATTCTTTCTTAAACCGTTTCAATATTATTATTGATTTTCCCCCTTAAGATTGGAAAAAGGTAATTGCTGACAACCTAAACTTACCAACTTGCTGCAAAAAAACAAAAAACAAAAAAAAAAAACAACACAGCACTTTGTGGGAATTTGTTTTGTAAGCTGGTCCTGGCAGTCTTGCAGATAACCTTTCAGTCCATATAGTTCATAGCTCATATAGGCTTCAACTGAACATATAGGCTATCCTAGGAGGTTTGTTACAAGGTTTCTAATCAAGAGTTTTGCTATGTGTGCCTGTAATCAAGTAGTGCTAATCAGTAATTAATTATCATCTCACAGTGGGATAAAGGAGTTTAAACTATTAATTTAGCCTAAATTAATATCATCTATATTTTGCGTCAAAAGACATAGTGATTTTATGTGTGTTTGAGTCCACTCAGTGGTAATGTTTCTTGACATTAAAAAATTACAATTTTTAGAGGTATTGCCTCAAAATACTAAGTAAAAATAACATTGATATTGTCAGGTTACTAAAATTATTTGTTTCTTTAATTTATAGTGGGTATAAGATATTTCAAGTTAGAAATTGCATCATTTTAAGTTAGAAATAGAAATAGCTTCGTAGTTAGCCAGACATGTAAGCTAAAATTGGATATTTTGGATGAAGAAAGAAATACTGATTATGTTATTTATTTTGGATAAGATTGCTGTAGAATTGATGGCATAATGGTAAATGAAAATTATTCAGAATTTGTAGATTCCTCCATTAACATTTTACTTTTTTGTTCTTTCCTTCCAAAGATAGATTCCTTACTAAAGAGCAGAGTTTTTGACTAAATTGCTACTTGCATGGAAATAATGATAGGAAGAATTTTAGAAATGGAATGGATAGAGAAAAATTGAATGATTAAAGTGAAGAGTCTAAAAATAATATAATCTGGTTAAAATTTACATAGGAATAATTATGGTTTATTAAATGATCATCCTTTATTTATATTAAAGAAAAAATGAATACATTTTGAACTTTTTACAATACTTGAGTTATGTTATTATTCCATAATATTTGCTATTTGAATAATCTTTTCATCCAAAAAAATCAATCTTTAAAGCCTCATTTATTTTTACATTTAACATTAGTACTACTCAAATATTTTTAAGTTATTTAATCAAAATTATTACATACCTTATTTATTGAGTGAGCTCACACCATGATTGTTTATGATCATGATAGCTTGTGTCATACCAGAATACAACACTGTAATTTCAAGAACATTATTCTCTAATCTGCAAGAAAGTCTTATAATATTTGTGTGTGTGTGTGTGTGTGTGTGTGTGTGTAAAATAAGTGACTAACTAATAAGTGGCTACGTAACTAATAAGTGGCTAAGGAATGAATTGATTGTTCAGAACAAAAAATGCATTTGTTCAAGAGTTATTATTAATTTATTTTTGAATATAAAGAAAAGTGCAATAAAATAAATGGTGGGAAATTTAAACAACTTAGAAATTGTCCAGATATCTTAACATATTTATCAGGTGGCTGAGAATTACAATTGAACATCAGCCCAGCATCATTGATCTTACTCTAGTTGATTAAAATCAATAATGTAACTCCAATTTTGAAAATCAGAAGTCACACAATAAGCACGATTCTATTTGTGTGTTAGAATACATGGGAAAGGGTAAGAGACACTTCACTGTACACATAGAGAGGAATTGGGGAAGAAATTTGCTTGATAGTTGTATCTTAAAGAGCCAAGTGTTCTAGGTAACCTGGAAAAGTAACCCGCAAACATTGTAATTCACTTCAGATAAGATTGTTTTTGTGTTTTGGAAAGATAATTGTTCTATCTTGTTTGTTTATATGCTATACAAAGCAAGCTGATAAAAATTTAAAACAGTTTTAGGGTTATATTAAGTGTAGGGCTACAGGGTTAGCCCTAACTTTAGGGCTGTCTTATATAATATGAAAGGGAATAGAAAACCTGCTAAGTAGTCAGATGCCTCACTACTTAACTGTCCTAGTGAATTAAAATATGTAACTTCATTCTTAAAAATAAATAAAATAAAATAAAAAAGTAAAATAAAATAAAATAATAAAATAAAATATTAACTCAGTTCTTAAAGAACCGACTCTGTCAGCATCACCTGAGTATTGGTAGAAATGCAAATTTGGGGGCTTTACCTGAGACCTAATGGACCAGCAACTCTTGTGGTGGGGCCCATCGATATGTATTTTAAGGATCCCTCCAATGATTCTCATGGCCACAAAAGTCTGAGAAACACTGTTCTGTTTTTAATTAAAGTTATGTTACCAAGAAATGATACCTAGTTAACCTCTTCACTTTCTTGACCTGAATAATTTTCATTCATTTATCATCTCCTAGAGAAAAGGGAAGGAATGGGACAGAGAGGAGATGAATTTGTGACTGAATGATGAGAAATACTCCTTAGGTTGGGGTGAGAATGAAAAGAGCATACTACGAGTTTCCATTCATGGATGTTTCATGAATGGAGACATGTGGGTATTAAAGAGCTTGGAGATTAGCAAGATGCTGGGAGTAAACTTTCTTCTGTTTCGCCATTTGGTTTGGTACCAACTTTGCATAATGGTAAACCATAAAAACGACAATAATAATCATGGTCAATTTTCCTTTTAAGCAAAATTTTATTTTTAAACACTTTCAACAAGGTAAATAACAAGTACTATTTGTGGCGGTAAGAAGTATGCAGATTGTAACAAATGATGAGATTATGATTTCACATATATATGTGTATATATATATATACATATATATATATATATATTCAATATATATGTAAAATTTTTGTTTCTCCTAAAATCTTTTTTGCAACATTGACTTTAGAATAATATAACTTCTTTTTTTTTTAAATTACATTTACCTCCTACAAACTCTAGCTTTGCATAAAAGGGGCTTGATTAGCTTCAGGACTGTCATATATAAGGTTTAATGGTTGGATGCCACTTAACACAGACATAAATTATCTTCCACCTTACATATTCTTATTAATTAGCTTGATGCTCACCGAAAGCTATTCCTTGGACTATAATTATTACTATAGATCTTACCTAGAGACTTTCATTCTCGTTGTGCCCAAAGACAAGAAACATACTCATACGATCTGGAAAACTTGTTTTACTGCTGCTGCTCACATTTGCCTGCTTCATTGTCAGTGAGGTGGAACAGAGTGGAGAAGAGGCAGGTCCTGAGGCCAGGGATATGCCACACAATGTAAAAGGGAGTAAAAAACTTGTCTTGGCAATCCCTAGGTGCTGTGTTAGGTTGGGTCATCTTTTTCTGGTCAGGGGAGAGCCATATTTCCATCAATGGGTCCTTCAGGCACATAATCATTTTGAGCCCATTGAGAATGGTAGGACTACAGACTGGAGAGAATTCATTACTTCCTTTGTTAAGGTCACTTGTACATGGCTGTGGTTTTATTAATCACTCCCATGATGGGGTTCTGCTGTTTCTTTGTTTGTTTTTATCAGATCCTTCTTAACCAAATATCCCTATTCTAAATTCAAACCAACAGCTAATATATTTACAACTTGAAGTCTACAAGCTTCTACTTATTTAGTTACCTGTCTGTCCAAAATCTAAAAGTTGTTTCATTATATGGGGCAAAAAAACTCAAAAAACAAAAAAATCAAAGAAGAAGAACAACAAAAAACACTATTATTTTCTCCTTTCTAGAATTTATAAAACTACCTCATCTGGATAATATTGTACAATTTCATCTATATGTGATATTGTAGAAATGAAGGAATCTTTGAGAAATACCTAGGTTCATATCTATTCTATTATTCATAATCTATTTATAATGATGAAAACCTGAATACAAATTTACTACATAAACATGTACATTTTTTATATAAAATTTCACCTTAAATATTTGAATTTCCATTTTATGAATTATTAGAATATCTCTTTTGAATAGGTGAAATTTGAGGTAATACCAGTATGCAATTTATGTTTTCCAAATTTTACCAAATACTCTCCATATTTTCAGACCAACACATTCATATATTAGTGCTTTTTTCTTTTTTTAAAGATTTTATTTATTTATTTGACAGACAGAGATCACAAGTAGACAGAGAAGCAGGCAGAGAGAGAGGAAGAAGCAGGCTCCCTGCTAAGCAGAGAGCCCGATGCGGGGCTCGATCCCAGGACCCTGGGATCATGACCCAAGCCGAAGGCAGAGACTTTAACCCACTGAGCCACCCAGGCGCCCCTGTATTAGTGCTTTTATTTAATGTTTTATGGCTATTTTAATTGTTTGGTTAACTGTGTACTGGATCATCTTGATTAGATTATTATTTGATATGTGGAGAAGCAAACATTTTAAACAAAATTAAAATGCTAAAGTTATTTTTGGGAGCCCTCAATAATAAGGGAAGGATATATTAAGTTTACTGAGTTCTGGTAGACTAAAAATGAAATGAAATGCTTAGAT